ACACCCGCCCCGCCCACACGGAGGGGGCCGCGCTGGGCAGGGTGACTTCCCGTGACTCAGACAGGGCTTCCCTCCGTCCAGTGCTCCCACTCGCCCGGCCACGCATCCCGCCTCCCCCGGGAGAATTCCAACTGCACCAGGCGCTGTCCCCTCACCATGCTGCACCCTCAGTCACCCTCGTCCCCTGCCAGAGTGCCTTCACAGGGAATTATACCTACTCTCAGGCAATACCTGGCCAAACATATAATTCACTCTAAACGCTCACCTTCAAAATTACCCACTCCTCCAGCTCTATCATCTTGTTGGCTTTTTTGGTTTGTTTGCACTAAATGAAAAAGTTCTTTACCTTCGAAGACCAGGCATGCCAAAATAAAATGGGTAAAATTAACCCAAAGAGCAAGGGAAGGACTGCTCTTCTCTACACAGAATTTAAAGACACAGAAAGGCTGCGTCCAAAAACCACGTAAAGCAAAGAAAGGTCTGAGGAGTCCTCATTTATTTTTTTAAATCAACTGCTGTGCTTGTGAAGTTTTAGAAGAGTATACAGGCTATCCCATATAATAAAACGCTAAAATGCACATTGACCGGTGGAACGACCAGTCTCTATGACGCGCACTGACCACCAGGAGGCAGACGCTCCATGCAGGAGCTGCCCCCTGGTGGTCAGTGTGCACCCACAGGGGGAGCACTGCTCAGCCAGAAGCCGGGCTCACTGCTGGCGAGAGCAGCGGAGATGGCGGGAGGCTTTCCTGCCTCCAAAGCAGCGCTAAGGACCCCTTGGGGGTCCCAGACTGCGAGAGAGCATAGGCCGGGCTGAGGGACCCCCCCCAACCCCCCTCCCCCAGTGCACAAAGGTCGTGCACCGGGCCTCTAGTAGGAATAGAATTTACTGCAGGAATGGATCTATGATGTAAAAATGCTGTGACATTTCTACCACATTAAACTTCTAAGTCACTAAGAGAAGACACGGCCGACTGCCACCTCTAACTTGCCCACCACTGGGCAGGTCTCCAGGGCAGGAGCTGCCAGGAGGGAAGGAAGGGCCGACTGCCAGTGAACTCAGGGGCTTGCAACGCAGCCAAGCCCTTTTGGATCCAGTTCTTCCACAGGATCCAAAACAAAGACAAGAGTCAAAGGAACCGGGACCTGAGTGAGGCTAGCCGGAAGCAGCACAGGCCAGGGGTATCAGATAACCCTGACCTGACCCGAGGGGAAGTCCCTCGCCACCGAGAGATCTGACCTCGGGTGCAGGGCCTGGACAGTGTGCCAGATGCGGCACCGCCTCTGGACTGAGCCTGGTCGCAGCTTCCCCGCTCACACTGCCCCTGCGCCTGCGCCTACGCCAGACCTTCATAAAAATACCCCGTAAATTACAGCTCAGGGCCTGCAAACCAACCCAAGTTTTCCTAATCCAACCTTCACATCAGGAGGTAACTCCTCTGATGTTCATGAAGTTTCTAGTGAAAAATTATGGAGCCTGATTTTGCCTCGATGACATTCCTGCTGCCCCTGAATATGTTCACTCTTTATAAACAACCTTATAAATGAAACTAAGCTCAGACGGCCCCAGGATAATATTTTCAGTTCCATCACCTTAAAGAAAATCCTATATAAGAAAAGGCTAATATGCAAATTGTCCCCTAGACCGGGAGTTTGACCAGGGGGCAAAGCCGGCCTGCCAACTGCCCGAGGCCCCTCTCCACAGCCAGCCCAATCGGCCCTGATTGGGGCGGGCTGGCCAGACCCCACCCATGCACAAACTCGTGCACCAGGCCTCTAGTTAAAGATAAAAGCCTTAAATTGAATGAAAATGTGTTAAATAGATCATTCATCTATGAAGTACAGCCAAATCTTGATTTTTTTTCCCCCCAAAACCAAGAGTGCAGAATGTATTTAAAGTAACTTAGACTATCTGTGGAAAAAGTTGGCTCTAGCTAACTAGTGAGATGGAAAACCCATGGGAGCAAGTCGGGAGGTTCCCACGTTAAGTAGAAAGAGAAGACACTGGTATGGAAGATACTTCATAAACATGGAGAATTGCCGCTGTGAGTGCCAGAGTGCTTGAGCGTCAACCTATGGACCAGGAAGTCACGGTTCAATTCCAGGTCAGGGCACATGGCCTGGTTTCGGGCTCAATCCCTAGTGTGGGGTGTGCAGGAGGCAGCCGATTGATCGATGATTCTTTCTCACCGTTGATGTTTCTATCTCTCTCTCCCTCTCCCTTCCTCTCTGAACGAATGTTTTTAAAAACTGCCACTGTGGAAGGCTACATATTAATTTTTCAATAGGAGGCACGGATTTTTAATAATTCATTTTAAATTGCTAAATGTGCACTTGGAAGAGACTCAGGAATCTGAGTGCGTGAGTCTACAGGTGGCCACGGAGTGAGGTCTCTGGTCCCCGCACCCACAGGTCAACGACAGGAGGATCCGCCCTGGAATCCGTCTGAACCTGACTGGAAGCCCCTCCAGGTGCCCGGGGCCAGAGGACATGCAGACAGGAAGGTCAGCTCCATAACGGAATGACAGACAACCAAAGTCCATCGCAATATTAGATATTTTACCAAAATGTTTTGCTGGAATGGCTTCCAAGGATAACTAATGACAAAGCCAGTACAAATTCAACACCGTATCTTTAACAGATGTAACTTTCCTGATAACTAAAAACTGTGGCTTTGATTGGAAACAGGCCTGGTGTTATGGTGGCATAGAAATCACATACATAATCTTATAATACAAACCAGCATTCTCCCTTGTTCTGTACAGATAAGGGCCCTGACACTAGTTCCATTCTTTGAAGGTATTAATGTCCGCACCGGAAAAAATTCCCTCACTGATGCTCTTGGGTCAAGTGTCTACACGATTAAGAGGCATTGATTGAAAAACTTCAGACATCGATGGGAAAACGTACTGGAGAGATTCAAGAAACAGCCAAATGAGCCAGGATAAAGAGAATGATTCTTTGAAACTTGCTCACTCATCATTTATATCACCACACCAGCATATCAAGATAGGACACATTATTCGCAGGAAAGTTAATTCCACATAAAAGTATCCCTTCCAGGGGGAAGAACCTAAACCAAAGTTTCCACTGGAAGTAACCTAAGAATCGGTTCATTGTGAGATTTCTTAAGAGCAAAAGAGGAAGTAAGAATGGAGCGCTGTCTGAATTTAATAGTTACCAACCCATCTTAATCCCCCCACTTTCTCTTGGAAAGGACTGGGAAACCTTACTCAATTTTGATAAGTTAATCTGATAAAAAAAAAGAACTCTCCGTGAGAAAGGGCATTGTTTGAGTAGTGAAAACCCTTGTTTAAAAAAATGGCCTGGACTCTGACAAGCCATTTAGAAGGATAAGGTCTGTAAAATCAGTTCTGGGTGGAGCCGCCAGGCAGCGATGTTTTATTCACAAAGGACTGGATGTTTTATTCACAAAAGACTGCGTAACATGGTCCATGTTTAAAGACTGCTCTATAAATCACGGCATTTTCTTTCCTACATTTTTGATTAATGATAAGGAGACAACGAAAGCCAATATTAGGTCATCCAGTTCTGAAACAGACCCAAGCGAAATTCAATTCAGAACTCGTTCCGCGAGTTCATTGCTTAAGTGGCTTTTCTGTTTCATGTTTTGCATGAAAGAAAAAAAAAATCAGTGCCTGCAACGAACCATTCCTTTTAGTAAAACTGGGTTGAGCAACTGGGGAAAGCCGCGCGAGTTGCTCAGCGGAGAAAGCCGACGCCCATCCACGGCATTAAAGTGCAGGAAACTAGGCGGAAAAAAAAACGAAGGAAGCCAGAAAAAAAGAAAAAAATGTGTTCCCCTCACATGACCGCGCCGGGCTGTTCCTGCTCTGGTTCTAATTTTAGCGGCTCTTCGGATTTGGGGGAGGCCCCTTCTCCACATTCACTCGCGACGAGGCAGAGCGCAAAGCCCGGCCACGTCACCTGGGCCGCGCCCGCGGGGCCGGGCAGGTCGGGGACACGCGGGAGGGAGCCCCGAGGGACCGGCGGGGGGACCGGGGACCGGCACATTCCCCGGGGCAGAGCCTCTTTGCTCCTAAACTTTCCCGGCTCAGACACGTTCCAGAGCTGCCTGGGCGCCGCTGAACGGGGCGCAGCGCGGGCGCACGGCCTTACCTGCGCCATGGCGACTGCTCAGGTCCGAAGAAGAGTCCATGGGACGTGGGCCTGCAAGACAGGGGCCAGCGCTGGTTCCCGGAGGCAGACCCGCCCTCCCAAAGCCCGGGATCGCCCTCCCCGCGCCCGGGGATCGCCCTCCTCCCTGCGTCTGTGCCCCCCTCGCCTCCTCGGAGGCCCCTTCCGGGCCAGGCGCGCACTCACCAAAGAGAGGGACTAGGAGCCGGAGCCTCCGGGAGAGCGGCGAGTGCGGGCGCGCAGCGAGGCGGTCAGGGATGCCAGCAGGGCGCTCGGACCGCTGCTCCAGCTCCAGGCAACGGAAACACCCAGCCGGCCCGCCCCCCCGCGCCCCACCCCGGCCC